AGGCATATATGAGGAGAAAGGTAACATAGACTTCATAGGTTCAAACCTTCAAACTATACTACAGAAAATGATTTGTATATATTCACTAAGAAAATTTTATTACTATTTGAAATAATATTTTGTCTACCAATTTTTTGAATATATATTCTTTAGCATAAAACCCAAAATAAAACCTATTTATTTACTAAAACTCAAACTCAAGAATATATTTAATTTTATTGAAAATCTGAAGATTCATTGCTAAAGATCTTAAATCAATAAATGATTCTTAACTTGCTTTTTTAATAAATCCCAAAATTATTTTTTTTAAAAAATTTATAAAAAGAAAATGGCAAAAACAAATTATTAAAACATTATTAAGCAAAGGATTGCTTCTATTAAATGCTGTAAAACCAAATACCTTTTCTCTTAAATATAATGCACTTTTCAATTTAAATCTTAAAAATATTTAGAATAAATTTTATAATTCTAATATTGATTCAGAAAATTACTACAACCTCAGGTTATTTATGCAATTAATCCTATTTTAACTACATCTTAAATACCTACTAAATTTATACACTTACTGAAATCTGAAATTTTTAATTATCTTAAAGTTACTAATAAAAATTTAAATTTAGTATGAAAGCAATTTAGATTATGAGCTTTTTTTGCAACCAGCTCTTTTATTGATAAACAGATTCATAATCATTGTTATTGTCTTTGGTCTAAAGTAAAATATGCATATAAACAATACATAAAAGCAAAAAAAGTTTTATTAAAGCAAACATTAATATCTGAGGCTTTTTGTTAAAATTAAAAGATAAGCAAATTATTACTAATGTATTAATTCATAAAATGGCAGAAAAAGATATTATCATATATTTGATTCATAAAGGTTTAAAAATGCTTTTGAAGAGACAATAATGGATCTATATACTTTTTCAAATTCTAGAGTTACAAAAAGTATAAAAATAGCAATAGACCAATACTATATTCATATGTTTGATAATTTATCTCATTAATTAAAAGAATTTAAAAATAAATTAGTAAAACATTTTGGTATTTTCATAGCCAATAATAATGAACTCTACATAACTGCAAATACTGCCTTATCTCACAATCAGAATCATTTAAAATGTGTTCAAAAATTAATACAAGACCTTTAATTATTATTTAATGCTATTAATAATTATATTAGAGATACATATCCAGTCTTATATATAAAGATGAAAAAACTTAATCTTGAACTAAATGTTCCAAAATTATTTGATGCTTTTTTTACTATAGTAGTTAATTTTAATATTATCTCTTAATTTCACTAAGACTTAAAAGATCACTATGATTCACTTTGTATGATCTATTTACTTGGAACATTTGAAGATAAACAATTAGTATTTTCTGAATTAAAGTTAATAATTCATGCAAAAGAGGATTAGGCTATTGCTTTTAGATTAAACATTTTAGTTTATAGTAATCTTTTTGTTATTGCAGATATTTATTATAGTATTGTTTTTTTTATTCATACAACATCAATTAAACAAAATAGAAAATTTGAAATTTTGATTCATTATACATATTAGAATAATTTATATAGTGAAATTAATGTTAGCATAAATTATAATAGCAAAAGCTTAAAGTATAAAAAAAGCATACTACACAGAATAAAAAAATATCTAAATCTTCAAAGTCAAGTTTGCAATTATCAAAAATTAAAAATTCAAGAAGAAGCTTTCTCAGTAAATATAATTACTATATTAGAAATTGTTTATAATTATTTTTTTAAACTGATATTTATATATTTAAATTTATTTAAAATCTTGAACTTATGAAAAAAGATTACCAGCAAGTTACAAATTTTAATATTAACTCTAAAATAGTTATTACTACTTAAAAATAATAGTACTATATAGAAATTATATTGCAATTAATGCTATTTCCTTTATTTATATATTTTTGAAAATAATTACTGATACATATATAGTACAACTATTTTGATATATAGGTTTCTATTTTTTATTATACCAATACTTAAAATAGTACAAGAAATTTTTAAATTTAAGAATAAGTTGTTAACAAAAAGAAATTTCTAAATAGTATTAATAGTTAATAGTTTTATAGTTAAATAAAGTTACTAGAAAAAATTAAACCTATTTTTATTATTTATTTTGATAGTTGAATTACTAATACTCCTATTTTGGTATATATATAAAATAATTATTCTTTAAGGTTTTCATTTTTCTATTATATTAATATGTTGAAGATGGGTGTATCAGCTTAGTGAAGTGAATAAGTTGTTATACTCCCAAATAGCAGGTTGTGAGTTCAAAACCTACCAATAGTAAAATTTAGAAAATCATTTATATAATATATAGATAGTATTATGGCAATAGCATTTTGTCAATTAGTTGGAATAGGATACCTGTAACTATGGTTACACCAGTATAACTGGCAGGTCTGGGACATCCATGTAACCTGTTACACAGAAATATAAACTGGTACCAGACAATGCAAACCTAAAATAAGTCCTTAAACTATGTAAATCTGTAGAACTAGGAAGCCAAAGCCCACTTGGAAATTCTGAGCAGAGAGGTAATACAGATCTTTGACAATACTACTGTAAAAGCTAGACCTAAGAAATAAATACAAATGTAGAGAATTTAGGTAAGCAAGAACCTCAAATGAGGAATACTACCAATCAGGCCACAAGATTTCAGACTAGAGGAAAAGGTTATTGGGCCAGCTTTAATATATCAAGAACAGATCATAGTCCTTACAGGCTATCTGAATTGGAAGTCTGGGTTCAAAGCAAGAGTATACTAAAAGTACTAGAAATATACTGTGAAGTCAGTGCTAGGGTCTGTGTGAACTTTGTAAGGGTAGCCTGCATTAGTATTCTAAAAGTAGATAAATAGTTAACAACAGAGGGCCTTCTGTATCTTACTAGCAAGTAACATACTCTGAAATATGTAATGGCCTGAGAACTAGTACAAAAAAAGTAGGTAACCATACTGCTCAGATGGTATACCAGTTAGGTATATATGGAAGATAAGTTAGGGATTCCAATATGATAGAATGAATAATTAGAGAGTTTAAATAATAATCTCCTAGTAGGTTATAGATATGGCATCTAGTGTAGAACCTTAGAGCAGACTACTTAAATAGGCAACCAAAAGTTGCATATATAACTAGCTGTACTCTTATTTCTGTAAAAATAGTTGTAATAGCTAACTCAATATAAACTAATAAAGTATTATTACAAGTATAGCCTTTAACAAAAAAAAAAAATATGTTGAAAATAATATAAGAAATTTTTTATAGGTAAAAATAAGTATTAATAAAAAGAAAATTTTTAAATAATATTAATAGATCTATAGTTAAATAAAGTTAATATTACTAGAAAAATTGAATTGCAATTAATACTGTTTTCTTAGTTATTTTTAATATATAGAATAATTACTGATACTCTTATTCTAATATATATGTATTTCTTGAGGTTTCTATTTTCTATTATATCAATATTTAAAAATAGTACAAGAAAATTTTATATTTAAGTATAAATTGTTAACAAAAAAGAAATTTCTAAATAGTATCAATGGTCAATGGTTTTATTGCTAAATAAAAAAATTGAATCCTATTTCTTATTGTTTATTTTGATAGTTAAATTTTTGATACTTCTATTCTGGTATATATGTAATAAATAATTATTTCTTAAGGTTTCTATTTTTCTATTATATTAGTATGTTACAAGATAGTACAATAAATTTTTTATATTTAAAAATAAGTGTTAGCAAAAAGGAAATTTCTAAATAATATTAATGGATTTATAGTTAAATAAAGTTAATGTTACTAGAAAAATTGAATTGCAATTAATGCTGTTTTCTTATTAGTTTATTTTTGATATATAAACTTATTACTAATACTTCTATTAGTATATGTATTCCTTGAGATTTCTATTTTCTATTGTACCGATTCTTAAAAATAGTACAAGAAATTTTTATATTTAAAAATGAATTATTACAAAAAAGAAATTTCTAAATAGTATTAATACTCAATAGTCTTATTATTAAATAAAGTTAGTAAAAAAAATTGAATTCTAGTTTTTATTGTTTATTTTGATAGTTAAATTACTAATACTTTTATTCTGATATATATGTATTTCTCAAAGTTTTCATTTTCTATTGTATCAATACTTTGAAAGATAGTGCAAGAAATTTTTTTTATATTTAAGAATAAGTTGTTATCAAAAATAAAATTTCTAAATAGTTTCAATAGTCTTGTAATTAAAAATGCATCTTGTAAGCTTTTTTTTGTAAAAACTTTAATTGAATTTCAATAAAGTTAAAGACATGGCCTCACTATTAATATTAAAAAAAAAAAAAGTATCTTGTGCTTTAAATTGTCTCAAAAAAAAAATAAGTTTTGTAATTATAAAAGGTTGTTCAAAGAGATATAAAAAGAAATTTATTAAATAACTTAATATATTATTTTCGTACTTCTTTTTGTTTTTAAAGATTAGGCTTTATTGTATTAAAAAGATTCTATTTATTATAGAAAATTATAGTGAAATAGCAAATAAAAATATATTACTAAAATATATATATAATTTTGTATTTAAAGACCTTTTGCCTGCCTTATCTTATTATATCAAATATTGTAACTTTTAAAATACTCTTAAAAATGAGTTATTAAATGTTTATTAAGTTACCCACATCAAAAATATAAAAAAAAGTTATTTGTATATATAAAGTATGCAAAGGTAAAAATGAACTCTGTGATTTCTAAACAAGAAATACTTATATTGAAAGATATAGAATTTGTAAGGAATTTGTAAGTTCTATTAAACCTCAATCTAATATTTCTTTTCTTACTAATTCTTAAATAGAAAGCAGTAGCACATCAATTGGTATTCCTACTTTTAGTTTAATGAATCTTAGTCTTTAAGAAGAAATATTTCTTGTAATTACAAAAAATAAAAGAAAAAAAAGTTATAATTAGAGAACAACTATATATTGATTTAGTTAAAAAGAATTTAGCTACCTCAGATTATAATAAAGAAGTTATAGAAACAGAACCTGAAAGTAATGATGAGAATAACATGTTAGACTATTCAACTCTCAATATTGAAAGTAATAAAAAAGAAATATTTAAAATATTAAAAATCATAATGAAAGATTTAGTTGGATATTAATTTGAATCTTAAAATACTAACAAAGATATCATTAGCAGACACCGCAACAGATTCTTTATTTAAATTTATTCATTATCTATTGATTTATTTTAATTAAAATCAGTTTACAAACTTTTCTAAATTACTCTATTTGGTCTGAAAGTTAATAGAATTAGGTTTATATATAAATAATTATACAATATGTTTAGCATATAATAAATTATACAACTATAATAAAGTAATAACAAAAAGTCTAAACAAATCTCAATATGTCTTTATTGTATCTTTGTAGAATATTTTAATCATCTAATGTTTAAAATAAGACAACCTTGTAATCAATCATTAGCAAAGAAAATATCTACAAAAGATGAAATATTGTATTATTCTTTGCTTTCTTATTCAATAATAAATATTAAAAATCAACTCCAGTTATTATACGGCCAAAAAGGATTTGAAGCATCATGCAGAAAATAGGTTAATAAAAAAATAAATAATAATTATCTTATTAATATCTATGAAGATAATATATAGAAAACATTTAAAGATCAAGATACAATTTTTTTTACAACTAAGCATGCTAATACACATTTAGGCCTTATGATTAATTTTAGACTAGTTTAATTCTTTTCAAAATTTTATATATTTTACTAGAGCAATATATGCAGTTATTTGCAATTTGCTTTATAAACTCAAATTCAAGCCTCAAAAGATAATTACTCTTGCATTATTACCAGGTCTAAAAGAAGTTAAATTACATTATATTAATTATTATCTTGCACTTTTAGTTGATCAATTACTTGAATTATAAAATGAAATAGAAATATCTATAAATGAATCACTTATGGATACAAAAAACAATTAAATGTACTATTATATACTACTTATTTAATATTCTAGTAGCTAAAGACAAATATCAGCAAAAATTGCATGCTTTCAATATAAAAAACATGTGCAGTTTGATGCTAGACATCAATCTAACTTTGGTGGATTTGTAAATATAAATAACTAATTTGTAAAGCATAATGTTGATAAAATTAAAATTAATACATATGTATAGTTATAGTGCAAAACTAAGGATCAAAGAAAAAGACACCTATCTAAACAGTTTGTTAGATGGTCAGAACTTTATTATCTTCTCTATTTTAATCTAGTTAAACATGTAATTGTAAACTCAATACATTGTTTATTTTTGGGAATTGCAAAATAGATTGTTATGCAGCTATAATAAAAAGACAAAAAAATTAAAGCTTTCATCAGAAATTGGAAGAATTCTTTATAAAATTGCAACAAGAGAAGAATTCTCTAAATATACTGCAGACCAGTGACAAACATTTATAATGATATATGCTACTACAATTACTTGAAATTTATTAACAGATACTGACTTACAATCTGTAATCTTCAAATATCACAGTATCTGCTTATTAGTTTTTAAACTTTCTCATAATTATACTCTATATTTTTCTATTTGGCAAACTCTTATTAACTTTATTAACTTATACAATATTCAGCTTACTTTTCACAAAGTTATAGCACACCAAGATGACCCATTTAATAATCTTGCTAACCAGCTTGCTCATAGTTACCAAATACTACCCTTCTTAATATTTTTAAATAACAATCCTTATAACTCTACATATATTCTATTTATTGACTAATTTTTTATTAAAATTTCTATTAATGCTCTATTCATACTATCTGTCAAGCTCATATTATAACACTATGAATATCCCAACATTGTTTCTAACAATGGTTTACTATTGTATCTAATATTAACTGAAAAGCCACTTGGCTTTATATTAATAACAATTAAAAAGTTTTTAACTTTGCTTATAGCTTTCATTCCTCTACTTTAAAAACCTTTTGTATTAAAATTTTCTTAGATAAACTACCTGTTTCTCATATTCTTCACAAATGTAATTCTTCTTACTCTTCTCTCTGCCATCAATGCAATCAAACTAGTTCTTCATTACACTGAACTCTTTGTTTTTTTACTTAAACAATTTATTATTTAATCTCTAATTCTCTTAACTGCATTTTAAATGTTATTGCTTACAACATGTCTGCTAATTCTGTTTCTAATCTACATCAAGAAATTCTTATACTTAACAGTTTTAAACTGCACAACTTTTCT